TCTTGGCTCTCTAGAGTGCTGGAAAAGTTTCTCTTAAGATAGATTGACATAATATTAGAATAGTTTTGACACTGCATTTCACTGACATGTACTTCACCGTCAGTCAAATCTAAGGCTCATGCCTTGGTCAAAATTGCTAGAAGATCTAAAGGCTTACAGTTGGAGAAGGAAATTCAAGGATGTAGCTTAAAAAAAAGAGTAATAAATCTGAAAAGCTGTCAAGAAAATTAAGAGTTTCTAGGACACAGTTTCTGAGGTATCTCAAAAACAAAACAAATGATATCTTTTATATTTTGCAATTCTGACACTCAAAAATTGACAGAAAGTACAGAGTTGTTACCTTCTAATATGGCTTAACAATATATGTATATTTCATCACAAATGATTAAACCTTATTGGTAAGTATGAAAAAAACTGATATTGTATTAAAAAAGGAAGTTAATTGAAACTTTTTATCTTTACGCTGCTCTCAGATTTAAAAATAAAAATAAAATAAAAAATAAAACCACAGAACTACTCCAGAAGCTCATCCATACTTCAAGCAGGATTTGAACTAAGATCACAATGGGTAAAGTGATTCCATTTTTTATCACATGATTCCTAGCTTGAAATAGGAGGAAATCACCTGGCAAAATAAGAAGCTCAAGTGCAGAGGAAAGAAACAATTCTCAAGAAATGTTTAACTAGAAATGACCAAGGTGAAGTTTCAATTTTGACTTCAAATATGGAGCTAACACTGAAAACATCCTGGGTTTCAGCTATTTTGGGTCAATCTCAATAATTAGGATGACCTCTCCTCAGCACATAATAAATAGAGCAAGTTTCCTTCTGTCTCTTGATACAAGAAGGACAGAAGTTGTCCAAACAGCAAGTGAGCAGCAGTCACTGGAGGGGAGCAGCTTTTTGTCCCACAAGATGAAGTTGGAACAGGSTATTAGAGACACACCAAGGTCTGGGGAAGGCTGGAACACGCAGTTCTTGGTAACTGTTACAATAGCTGCGCAACTGGATTTACCAGAAGTTTTGTGCATAGGAAAAACACATTGGTCAAGAGCAGTGAAGGTCAGTCTTTTACTTATCTAAGCCAATTCATGGGAGAGAAAAAAAAAAAAAAAAAAAAAACCACTCAGTTCTTTCCTACTGTGAAGGGAAGCAGAATGCTGACAGTTTTTTAAAGAGCTGCTGAAAATCTTTAGCTGCGGACGTCTGCCTTTCCTGCTACGTAGGATATTTCAAATTCAACCAGCTACCGCTATAGGAACGTGTTTATCACACAGTGTTGCCATTTAGCTGAATTTGCATTTTGAGTAAAAGAGCTGGAGTACTTTAATCACTTGTTCTGGCAAGCAAGAGATTAATATTAATTATAGTCTTCCAAGTACCATTTAGCTTCTTAGGCTTCCTGGTGCTGATTGCTTTGTAGTACTTTTGTGCAAGGAGCTTGTTTTACATTTATTTACAGGACATGAAATCCTGGAAACATGTCTTCTGTGTTTTGAATCATAAGCAAAATGATATATGTGATGCATAAAACATGACGTTGGAATCTATTTACTGCTGAAATATGCCAGTTAGTATGGTCTCAAATACAGACCTATCTAGTTTAATGTCTCTATACAAAATAACATATAAGTCTAGAATTAACAAGTAGATAATCAAAATGCCAAAATATATCAACCTAACAGGCAGAAGATAARTTTCTTAAATTAACACAAGATTTATAAGTAGTTCTGTGTCATTACCCTTTTAAAACCAGAAATGGGAGGTATCGGATGGATCTGCACATTGGGTRGATTATATCAATATCTCTCCCAGAATGACTATTCTGTCAGGGACGGGGAAGAAGAAAAAAAAAGACAAAAAGAGTATTTTCATGTCCTCCAAAACCAGTAAACAAATAATGTTCTGTTATGTTAAACAGACATGACAATATAATATTAATTCAGAGTGGATTGACTTTAAAACCATGGTATTTCTACCTTTCATTCTCTCAGAAGTCAGAAACCATAACAACTGTCATGACAAAGAGGGAGCTATTCTCAGATGTTGATCTATTATCTGCTCGGTCCTYAGCCAAGTGGAAGAATGCTGCTTGCCTTCATGGGGATTCTAGACGAAAGCTCAATRATATGATAAATTTTAGCCTTAATGAACTTAATATGAAATTCTGTTTCCTGCTAAGAAGTCTGATTTGAATGAACAATGGACTCTGTCTGCTAAAAACAAACAAATAAACAAGTCAACCAACCACTACCAAACAAGCAAACCAAAAAAACCCACCACTCACAACCAATAATTTAATTCAGAACAAGAAAAACACGTGAGTTTGTGATCAGGGTACATGTTTCTAGAAGAAAATAACATTTTTGAAAAGGATAACAAAACTAGATACTTTAGAAAAGTTTCAGAGGAAGAGCAGGAGAGCAAGAGAATCAAAAAAGAAAGCAATTTTCTATTACGAAGTATGGGCCACAAGCAGCACACATAGAGTATGTTATAGCAAAAGGAAGGAACATGTCAGAAGGCAAATTTAGCCAAAAAGGAATGAAAATACTTGATCTCAGATAATGAAGTCCAAGAAGTCATTTTAGGAAAACAGCTTCTAGTATTAAACAGTAGAGAATATGCAGCAAAGAGTAAAATCAAATGAGAGAACAGGTCATGCCATAAATAAGCCTGAAGAAGTGCCCTTCATACAGTTAAAATGTCAGCAGGAAAATAACAGGAGGAAAAATAAGAGGAGAAAAACAACATAATGGGAACCACACACTAAGCCTAACATCTATCAACTGATGCTATTGATGAGGAACACAAATCAGTTTGAGAGACGTTGCAGGTTGCAGAGCTGGTAGCTTGCGTAATCATGGAACAAATTCTCTATTAGAGGGTAAGAAGTCCGAAGAAGTATTATTAGGTATCATCATTTYATAGCCCAGTGAAAAGAAGATTGAGGAGACGCAGGATAACAGCGCTCAAATATCCTTTCAGCAAAGTAGAAAGGGATAATGAAACCTCCACCGCAGACAAAAATAATAAGGTTTGAATTGCAGCAAGAAAGGTACAGGACAGGCACTAGGAAAGACCGTCTGTATGCACAGAGACGTAGGTACAGGAATACGTAGTGCAGAAAGGCTGAATAATMCCCTACATTGAAGGTTTTCATAGACTCTGTCATTACTGCTTTGATATTTGGTTAGGTATATCTGAGGGCAGATTGGAGTGGGAGGATTAATACCATGGCCTCTTAAAATCTCCCAGAGCAGCAATGGAGCTCTGGGAGAGAGCATTTTTTTCATCACAATTGAAAATTCTTCTCTGCAGATAMCTCTGAAGTCAGTAACTTCAAATTTAAAAAGCCTCTCTACTTATTTTACTTTAAGAGAAACTAAATTTGGAAGCCATTTGCAAACAGGGTGGTTAATAAGCAATCCTAACTACCACCAATCTGCCTAAAGCTGCTGATTTCCCTTTTACCGAAAAGTTTTCCAAGTTAAAGGGTAGATGCCAAGATGCAGCACTGCAATATTTTCTTTCTCATCAAATTATAACACAGACTTGTCACAGAAATTTTTGTCATTCATTACCAATATTATRAGAATAAAATGTAATGAAACTATTCATGAATCACTAGGAAAAGCATTTTCACAATGGCACTTGCTTKAATTTTCACAAGATCTCTTCTTCGCAACAATGCCCACAGCGATGAAAGCAACAGAAAATACGGTTTTATAGCTCTAACACAGGAAAGCAGAGTTCCCACTTATTGAGATGACATATTAAAAATAGAGTGTGTGAATCATTCATACTGTCTGAAGCCACAAAACAACCACTTGATTTAATTTCTTCAACCATAAAAAAAGAAATTATGTGCCAGTAAATATCTAGCTCAGTATTGTCTAAAACAGTCTATAAAGGACTTGCTTCGAGCACATGAACTGCAACTGCTCTGTCAGCATGAGTTATAGGTACAAGGGTACTACTAAGCTCACTAAGGCATATCTGTTGGATGTAAAGGAAGTTCCAGGCATCCATCTTAAAGAGGTGCTCCCCTCTGGTGTGTCTGCTCTGCAGGAACATCAGCTTTGCAGGAGCTGGATACCTGCTCCCTTCCCAGGAGTCTCCCACCTCCATACAGACCTCATAACTTTGTCYGGGTGGAGGAACGCAGATAAGCCAACCCTCCCTCTCAAAGTCCATCTAGATCTGTAGATTTCCTTTATTCTCATCATTGACAGTGAACATTAACAACTGGCATAAAGGAGACTTGGAAGTAACCCTTGCTAAGAAGGTTACTTCTTCCCTCCTACTCCAAGACCAGCTCTAATGGTCATTACCTACATGTATCTATTTCCTCCATATTTACAAAACTGCCATCTACTATTCTACAAATAAGGTTATGTTTGACATTTTGGTGTGCTGTTACTTACAATCAGTATTTCAACCATCAGGTTTTAATAGAACAATAACCCTTCTTCCTAAAAAAAAMGAAACCAAGCACAAAAATTAGGTAAGCGTGGTGGGTGTTCTGATTGTGACAGATGCTTACAGGGAGAAAAAGATTGAGAAGAAAATTGGCAATGATGATTAATACAGGTTTCTAAAAGAAATAATGCTTAAAGGTTAGCTCCTGCAAGGATAAATTGCCCCTAGAGGGGACAGATTCTAGTTACGGAGAAATGAGCCATCTCTTTTGGATAGATTAATTTATAAAAGAAACAAACTTCTTAGCCTGAAGTTATTTATATCTCACAAGAAATATGTCCAAGCTGCTAATAATCATAAATGAGAACAAGGAAGTATAATGGTCAGTTATCTATCACAAGATAATGTGGGAGGAAACATATCTTTTGTTTAAATCAGCTGACTAGCTGTCACTTATTACTTTATAAAGAGAGCTTCAAAGGTTGGAATATTTATTCACTTAGAATTGGTTATATTATCATATTCATTACTGATGGCAGTTTGTCATTTGTGAAAGTGGAGCGCAGGAAGCTACGCTGAGAATAATGTCAACGAGATCTGTGAAAATTACTTGAAATGCATATTTTCAAAGTCTGGTGAAAATAATAAGGTACTTTTCTAGTCAAAGCAATCCCGGAGACAAAAACATAACAGCAGAAGCAGTGTGCTGTGGAACAGGCATCATGCTTCTAAGGCTGTAAAGTATCCTCTATGAAAGATATTCTTTGCTCTTCAACATGAAGGAAATCTCCAAGGCTTCACCTAGAGGGAGGGAGGGAGATGTGATAGACTTAGCAACTTGCAGTTGGGTACAAGGACCAAAGCACTTTCTCCATTGGAGAGGGCAGGGTCTGGAAGGTCTTTAGATAAGATGACACGTACCTGGAGAATCAGATCTCAAACAGAGTGGTCAGCTGCTGTCAGGATGGTGATGGGACGGGGCACGAGCCAAGAAGCTTACCAACCACGGCTTCTGGCAAATCCCTCACACGCGGCAATCAACCATCTCAGACTCATTCTAATCTGCTTCCTTCTATTCTCCTCTCTCTTAGCTCTTCCCTCTTTCATAAGGGGGGTGATGACTCATGAAAGTGGATGACGGAAAGAAAATTTCGTACAGGAAACCGAGACACCTTCCTTCAGCCCTGCCATGGGCCTAGGCAGAGTCCWGCAGCAAGAGGTGGCCGTGTCACACTCCAACCAAACGGTGTTGGAGCAACACGTTGCAGGGCGATACATGGACTAAGATACTATTTCTTCTGAAGTTGCCCTTTGAGCAAATGCAGGAATTCAACTCCTTAGTCTCCTACTTTCTCAAACATTTKATTTCTTAAGATATTAAAAATTAAATAATGAGTAGCTGACAAGTTATTTTAGCATAATTGCCTCAGGTTACTACCATCTTGTCTGAAAAAACTGAAGAACAGTTTAAGYACAGTATAAGACAGAAGGGGGAAAAAAGACAAATTGAAGAAAGCTGGTGATAAAAAGTTAGTGTATTATGAAGTCGTTGAATTATTTTCTGATGCTCTTTTGCTAATATTTCTGATGAATTTTGCTATCTAATGCACCAATGCATTATGCATGTTCATGCAAATATCTAAAGACTGAAAACACCACAGAGTGACATAGATGTCAATGCAGAGAACATCAGTGACCTTTAAGTAATAAAAGCATATAACCTTTTACTTTAATAGGCTCTGGCATTATTATAATTCTGCCCTGGTTAGCCACAAAATGTGAGTTATTACATATTTTAACGAGGTCAACTGTGCTCAGATGAGGATTTTAAAACAAGCAGAAAGAACTTCAGTAGATTACACAAATCATACTCAGGGTTTGATAGGTCTGAACTGCAAAAAGAATTATTGAGTCCTCTTTTAAAAAAGCACTTGCAAATGCAAAGTGTGAATGGACAGATTACATAAGTCAGAGAATAGAAAGAATCTGAAGGTTTATATATAAATGTGTATATATACATACATACATATTTTATGTATATATGTATATTATTGGTAGCTCCTTGAAGTAATTTTTCTCTACATTTGAGAAGTAAGATAACTTAATTAAAACACATCAGAGTTTATATATCATGCCAGGCAGACAGTCTCCAACCAGCCATCCCTACATAGCATGCATTTGCACCATGTTAAGCAGCAGTTGCAGATATGTTTGTGAAGGGAATCACAATCACCATCCTCAGCATATTAATATGCTTTGCATACCGCCCGAGGAAGGTAAAAGTTCAGCTCTCAGTCAGATCAGACACATTTTTGTTATTTACAGTTCCTGGAGTTGCCGCTTGCCTCAGGAAGCCGCACTCTTGCAAGCAGCCCTCCCAGTGATTAGAAAATTGAAAGCAACTTTTAATCTCGAGTCCCCCTGCATGGTGGCTTGTGCTAATAGCTTGCCCAAGGTGGCTGGCTGTGCAGCGCCATAACTCGCTGCAACAACCCCTGCTGCAACTGGRGCCTGAGAAACACCTGCCCGGGCAAAGTGGAGAAATCTGGTCCAGAGCATCCCCACGGTTGTGCACCTGGAAAGGAAACACCACCGCACTGCCAGGCACAAGGAAATCCTGTTGGTGCAATTGCCAAGGAAAGTAATAGAGCAGGATTTGCTTTTATGAATAAATCATACATTCTGGTCAATTAACATGACCAACTACCACTGAGGGTGTGCGGCTAAGGGACTGGCATCTGGCTCAAACAACTTGGTGCTTTGCAAAGGCAAAAATCATTCTACCCAGGTGAGTAGCTATGTGATACAGGTGGTAGTTTGGGAGCGTAGGTACAACTACAAACTCTGTGATGTGATAAAGTTGTCACTGCAACCGTGACCATCCAACAGAACGGCACACACTAAGAAACAATCCCGCATCTGTGACAAAGTTTRTTTCCAGAAGAGGGTGGAGAGGGTTTCCAACGTTTATCACCCATTCAAGCTAAAAATCCTTTTGGAAAATGGAGTGGCTGAAAACAGCAATACCAAAATTGTTCCATTATGCTGCAGAGATAGAAATTGACGAAAAGCTTAGGAATGCTGAGTGCAGACTCAACAATTATTCCCCAAGATTTAAATGGTGAACATGAGGCAGAATTCAGCCAAGTTTCATATCAGGACTGTGCAGTCAAATCAGTCTGACAAGAGTCTCATAAATTATACATTAGACTACCTAACTGGCTAAAAACAATAATAAACTATCATTTTATGGTAAGTGCTTTCTACTTACGGGTTATCTACTACCTCTTCTCATTTTATGGTCTGAAAACACATCTCAATCGTCTAAGGTATTTCAATATACGTTGCAATATGCTTTGTAAAGTACCAAAAGGGAAACAATGTGGTTGCAAACTAAGTGCAGTAAATTTGAATTAATGAAGAGTGTACAACATCTTTCCTACTGCATAACACTGTCCTCTTAGAAGCAATCCTCAATCACAGTATGTTGCACACATACTCTGGTAGCATTCATACTGATGCACCAAGAATGGAACCTCACTGTTGATGATTTTTTTTTTTATTTTTTTTAACTAGCATTCCTCAGCATATATGTTTTGCACTTTGGAGTATGATTGACAAGATCTGCAAAATAAGAAAAAACTCCTTGAAAGTAGCAAACAAAAAATACTGCATTTGTATTGTCCGGAACGGTATCTCACATATATGTAAAAGGCTTATCTTCTTCTAGCCTTCACCCTGTTTCCACTCACCTTTTGTTTAGCATTATGAAGGACTATTAAAATTAAAAAAAAAGACATATTTTTGATAGGAAGTTTTCCCAGGATGAGGGAATTTTTAGTTTTCTGATCACAGAGACTCTATTCACCTCATTTCTCTCTACCTCTTTGCAAATGTTCTGCAGCACTTGACATCTTTTCTAAATCTTTTCTCTGAATAATTTAATTTGCAAACAAACTTGAATCACCATCTCTGGATGTTGATTCACATATCCATTTCAGTCTCTGCTATCTCTGTCTTGTCATGTTCTCCTTGTGAATAAATAGTTGTCACCTCTGAATAACATGATTACTGTATTGCCACATCAGTCATGCTGTCTTCTTTCATTAGTGTTCTGAAACCATTATCCTACTTGTAGTCCATATCTTGGCAGGATCTATGCCTGGAAGCTCTCAAAAGCCTCACATCCAAACTATGTAAAGCCACGGCACAGATAACACTAGCTATCCTACTCAGTCCACAGCTAAAATTATTTTTCCTAGGATAAAATTCCACATTTTAATCCTGTAATATTCTTTACTCTAGATTAGATAAGTGTGATATCACATTTTTTTTCCTTTTTTTTTTTTTTGTGCAGTATTCAGAAATGAATTCTGCACAAATACACTAGAAAGACTGGAGCTTGCATCACGTCTTCTCCCTACATTCCCTTCCACATCTCCAGCTTTGTATTCTCCTCACATGGTAAAGATTTAATACAGAAGGCTAGATTTGTGGACATGAAAACAAAGATTTTTTTCAAGGAATAGATGAAAACCTATTTCTTATATTATGACGATGAGCAAAATGACCGTTAACTTTCACAYGTTGCATGCTCTAAGAGGTTTACACAAAAATTAAACACATTTTTACTCACACTTTGCCATGAGTCACCTTCCAGCTGAGTTTACTTCTCATCTTTTTGTTTTACTCTCTAAACAAAATATTGAAGGAAGATGTTAGTTTTCTAACTCAGTGACATGCAACAGAATTTAGAAAAACTAAGTTTCCATAACCCAATGATGTACCAAGCTTTTTTTTTTTGCAATATTAAAGCCACAGAAGGTGCAGTATTTAAAGAGAATAATCTGCATTGTATGAGAATATGTAGTATATTACATAATTTCACTTTTCCTCAATTATACCATTAAGTAATCACTAATATAAACACATTTCTATGAAACACTTTTAGAAATATAAATACAAAAAGGGGGAAAAATTTAACTGGTTCTAGGTATAATACAGTAGTAAAATACTAGTGATTTGTAATGAAAAAAATCTCTAGAAAAAAGATCCAACTGAACTTCAGTGTCATCAAAACTGTTATGCTTAGAAGCATATCTCTTTCAGAAGCCTCATGTTTCAGAAATCCACACTAACATTTCATTTTTTTTTGCTCCTTAACTCACTTTCTATATAAAATACAAAATCAGAGATGCAGAAGAAGAGTTAAAAAATGAAAATACGAGGACCTTAATTAAATTCAAATTAAGAAGCACATATTATATTCTGTTGAGAACAGATTTACTTCTGTGTTTCTAAATTAGACATGTAGGAGACGATAAAATGATGCAAAAATTTTGGTTATGGCTTCTTGGTTAGCCAGAACTATACTACAATRCAGTCATGTAAAGAATGTCACATAAGAAACTACATAACTGCTCAAAAGACCACTAGCTCCTTTTTGCACTTGTCTTTATAAAGAAGGTTCAATAGCTAAAGATCTTTAAATCAAAATATAAATTCTTTTTTTTTTTTTTAAAGGATAAGGAGGCCACATTTTTCAATTCCAGACTGAGGTTGTATATTTGCCTTTCTTTTTGCGTTTCTTTTCCTCATTGTATTTTTCTCAAATAAAGGACTGCTTATCACATTCTCACTGCTGCACAGCTGTTTAGATCTTTTAATCTGTTTGCATATTTTCTGTTTTAATTGTAGAAATGTGTCACATCTTTAGACAACATTCTAATCTTCAGTGCCAACTCATTCCAAAATACCTATCCCATTATCCAGAGTGAATAAAAAATAAGATAAACAACACTGACAATTACAACATAGAAATTATGAAGCATATCATAATTATCATTCACCAAACTTGCTCAATGTGACATCTCATAAATGAAGCACAAAAGCACCAACTATTTTCCAAAAACATTCAAACTGATTTATAGTTACTATAGTTACTATTCGGGAAAAAATATGCCTCTTGGTTAAATATTGTAAATAGAAGCATATGTAACAATATTGTCACATCTATAGAACAATTAATGCATTTACTATAAATAATACTAAACAAGTAAAAGATGTTTAGAAGATGAGAATAAAATTAGAGGTCACTGTTCTGTAAGTGCAGTACCAGCTGCCTGCAACGTTGCTTTTCTAATCAACCTAACAGCAGCTAAAGGTCATCAGGCAGTAAAGTTCTTTACCTTGCTTGATTTAAGTTATAGCTTTGTGTTGCAAATAAGACCTGCTTGATCAACAGTGCATTGAAGTAGCTGAAATATTTCATGTTGACTTAAAAGAGCTATAGGTAACGTGGTGGTGTCCCAACAAGTAGGAAGAAATACAGTTTTCAGATTAGAATTTAAATGACCTTCCAGTAATATGAACTTAATTAGAAAAGCAAGRTCTTGGGACACTGGTGCCATCCAACAGAACTCAAGTTTTGCATAAATCTTATAAGTGTGTTTGTTTTGTTTTCAGGTTGGAAAAGCTTAGCAGAATGCAAGTTAATTACAGAGATTTTACAGAGATTTTTTCTTTTTTTTTTGGCATAACTCCAACACATTTTTTTTTTTCATAGCATTTGATATGAACAGAGAAAAACTGTTTTTGATATAGGTGTCAAAGTGACAGAAGATAACAGTCATAAATCACTTCCACATTTACATGCTCAACCTTTGGGTTAGTTTAGTTTAATGTGAAACACACAGCTAGAAGRTTATTGAAAACTACATTAATGCTATGAGCAGAACATCGGAATGTACCAGCAACACTTTAAGCTTTTCTGTTTCACACACAAACCCCTGGCATTAATAAAACATACTGCAACTAAACTAAAAAAAAGATGCTTTAGCACAGAATGAAAAAGCCCATCTACTATACAGAAGGAAACTCCACATTGAAAGCAAAAAAAAAAAACCCAAAATAAACATAAACAGAAACAAAATGAATGAGCGCTAACATTGTATAAGGATCTACCCAGGGTCTTTAAAAATGCCATTAAAAGAAAACCTTTGAATAAGACAAAGAAGGTTAAATGCATCAATATGGTAAAGAAAAAGGAAATTACTGTTTTTCTTTGTCAATGAAAATTTAATTCAATACTCACTGAAATGATAAAAAAAGAGGCAAATGTGAAAAGAAAACCTAATTTCAGTAGTTTCAGGGAGCACATCAAAAACCTTACTGAATTCTATAAAATGTAAGGAGTAACTTTGGTGTCAAATTCTCATACTTTCAGAATTACATGCAACTTTCATGATTGTATTTTCAAARATGACACAGCAGCAAAATTCAACTCCAAGCATTTTTTCATGCCTTGCACAAATCAGAAATGATGTCCTAGGATAACCTTATATATTGTTATTTTTATTTTTCTCTTAGCTATTAAAAGGGAAAATGTCATCTGTTKTAACAGCAGGTGACCAGACAATCTTGGTACACTAATACCAGCTTCCCTAATGTTTAGTTGCTTACTAAAGACCACTAGTGATACTACTTTTATCCTAGTGGCATAAGGGGAGCACAAAAAAAATGGAAAAAACCTTACTCAACATGAAAGCCAATGTTTTCAGCCAGTGAGAAAACACCATATGGAAAATTGTTTTCTTCTGCATCATCATCAAAAAATTTCTAGATGTTTTTAGAAGCTTCTCATGACTCGGAGATTATTTTTATAGATACACACATACACTCCCACATTCTTGATGCAATTCCTAACAAGCTATTTAAATTATTTATCACACAATTTGTTCAATTGCCAGTACGCATTGCTTTGTATGGGCACCAAAACAGAATTTGGGATGCATATTCTGCTTGGCATTTACTGGAGGAATTTTCTGCTCCTAATGATTCAGATCTGTGGTTGTGCCTTATTTCTACACCAACCCCTACAATTTTCAAGTAGGTTGTATTATCATTTAATGCTAGAACACGAAACACACTCTTAGTATCTGTTCAGCACATTTCTAAATGCTCCCCTCAAGCTCCCTCCAAGTAGAGATCTGCCTGTCYTTAGTCTGCTTGGCCTCACCTTTASATCYTGCTTCCAGCAAGCAAAATAAATGTTTTAGGCCTCTTGTGCAGCCAGCTAAAGAAAATACTCGGATTTTCAAAAGTATTCAGATCCTAGCAGCTCCTGTTTTGCTGAGATATTCCACATTTATTTCTTTTTAAATCTTCCAAACTCTGTGTCTGGACTGAATAAAGCTGAGAAACAAACCAAGTTTTATTTAAACTTGACTTGCAAGTTTTTGCCTCCAAGTGGGATACAAAGAAAACCAAGTAAAGATATAACTTTTTTTCATAGTGTTTATTAACTGCTAAGGACTGAATTCCAAATATAGGCCTTCTTTTCTTCAATTAGTTATGAAAATAAAGTGGTGTACTGCAATCATGTATTTAAGGTTATCCTTATGGCAATAATAAACCTTGATAAATTAGTGCCCTGTGCAGAGAGGTTCTTTTCAGTCACAACAGCAATGAGTTATGTTCCAATATTGGAAACCACAGAATACTTTTTACATTCAACACCACTAGTAAAGAATATTCCATTTTTGGCAGAGCATATGACACACTACTTGCCTTTTCAGATATGTCCAATTTGATTTTCAGGATTCTTTTTCATGTTTCTATGAATCTATGTTCTAACCAAAAGTATTTCTACCCTACATAATAGCAGAACCAGGAAGCAGCAAATCTGCATTTAGTGCAAAAAATTCCCAGAATCACCATTCTCAGTGGAGTGAATACATTATAGCCTCCAACAGATATTTATAGCTGCTCATATTTGGAGATATTACCTTGAGATATCTCAATGAATTTTTTATATRAGCAGATTTACAATAGGCTGAATGCTACTTCAACCTAGTCTTCTATCACTAAGCTTAAAATKCTGGCCAACGTCATTAGTGCAATTAATTAAGCAGATAATGCATTGTGCAGAAAAAAATTGAATTATATCACACTGGAATCACATTGTATTAAGTGTCATAAGCAGGTCAGTTTGAAATACTTGTACCCATCATTGAAACATTATTCAGTGGCGATCTGGCCACAAATTCTCTGTTTCAGTCTAGTCTGATCCATTTACATTTTGTATCTCTTTATTTCCTCCTTGAACATACTTTTTAATTGACTACTTAAGCCAGTGTGGTACAATGATCATACTGAAAAGCGTGCCTACATTTTCAGACTATCTATAGCAATAAAGTCCTTTTAAAAAGGAATTGAGGAATATATTGCATAGGAAATCTTTCACCAGTGCTTTAAATAGTGGTTCAATGCAGCCTGGTTGGATTTGTTGATCAAAATTACTCCAAGCTAGAAAAGCCTTGCTCCATAGCATAGAATAAATCTATGATCCTTGAAGTGCTTATTTCATCTGCTTTCAGGAAATTATTGCAAACTATAAGTCACAAAGTCCAAAATTATTGAGCAGTGTGAAGGTCACAGATGTTAGAGATATGCAAATAAAGGTGTACATTTGTTGAATGCATGAACATAGGTCGCAATCAGCAAGGTAAATATTTCTGAATAGCATTCAGGAAACCAATTTAGCAGTGACATTTTAGGCTCTTACGGTTTACACGGTATTAAGAAATTGATTTCTGCCGCACCTATTTCTTTCTGAAGAAGCACAAGTAACGAGCAGTGGTGGTTACACATTTTCCAGTGCAAATTTCTTTCTCACCAAAATACTTTTTCCAGTAAAATTTGACAAAAATTGTGATAAAAGATCAATTGCAAATTATTTTCCAGTGTGTTAATTTGTTTCAATATCTTGCTTCTAATATTCTGTAACCACAATAACCATTTTGGGTGACTTATGGTTATATTTTGAAAATTTTCTCTCAAAAAATAACAGTAGGTTTCAGTTTAGTATAGGCAAAACATTCCCAGCTTTCCAAAAAGAAAAACAAACTCTCTCATAAACAGGAAAAAGAAAAGTACAACAGAAGGCAGGAACGTGTAGGAATAGAAGAACAGTGCAATGGCACCTCTGCATTTTTAAATCTGATGGTACCAAGATTTAGAGAGTAACRTGATTATCGGGTACAAGCATTTGGCTTACAGAGGCACAGAAGAGGTAGCTGAGTGAAGAGAATTCAAAGTTAATTATTTYTTTTCTCCTGTTTCCACAAATGGTTTTGTATTTAACCGGGAAGATCTCTAACCTGTAGGGTGGGAAAGTTCAGATTTTCAACTATTTTTAAGACCATAGTAAWGTAACCTGAAATTTAGTTCTCAAACACATGGAATTTTCCAAGGTTTCATGGTTTCTGGTTATGCAGCACATGCTCCCCAATTCCACTAGCCATGAAATCTGCAACTCATTTAACACACGCTGGGAATATTTCTGTAAATCCTACAGTCAAATGTGGCATGTATTTTTACTACTTTAATATGTGTTAATTGCAACTGTTGCCAAGACAAAAGAATATTTCTTAATTTTCCCATCTTTTGCCAGAACAGTCTCTGTCAATACCCTTGCAAGTGAACTAAAATCATACTTCATCAATACTGTCAGCAGCCTCTTCTGCATTTGATAAATAAGTTAGCGTAGTACACACTTATGGCAAGCAATTTTAAGAATCATGAATGTGAGGAAACTTAACTGAAATGTGACTGTGCGAGTCCTACAGTTGCTGTAACGACTCAGCCTAAATAAAAAGTAGATCTAAGGTGAATTACACCCGCACTCTTTGTGGTTCTCAACGTAGGTGAATGGTTGCATCAGCAGCTTATCGACARTGTGGCTCACCAGTATTGAGCATGCTATCTCCTCTTAGTGATTCAGCCTTTTTTTAATGCTCTGATCAGAGTAACTTCAGCAAAAACAGTTCCTAAAGGCAAGAAATGGGGCTATGCTTGGGTCCTGCTGACAGAAACCTTTCAAATGGATGCCACCAGGCTACCTTTCTTCACAGAGAAATACTTCCATGCTCTCAAGAACTCTCCTTTGCCAAACCTTTGTTTTCCAACARAAGATCAGTCAGCACTTGCACGTTAACACAAGAGTAGCAGAAAAATAAAAACATAAAATAAAAAGTTTCCAATATTATTAATAATAATTAAATCTGAATTCTAATTAAAAATAACAGCAATTGCAGGCCTCAAAAAAAATTACAGACATTAGAAGATATATGACATATTTGTGCTTTATCACACACATCATGCTCTTCCCACAATTTAACAATACTTTCTGGAAGCAGCTTGCAAAAAAATAAAAAATGCAGATATCATAGAATCCAATTCCAATCTTTATCCAGCAAAAAAAAAAAAAGGTAGCTGCCATAAAGAGCACAGAAATTTGTCTAATACAGAACTTATATTTGGAAAAACAATGTAGATAAAAATTGCTGGAGATTTTTATAAAGCAATTAGCAAATAATGTATCAGCATCTCCTAGTTTCAAAGACATGCTAATGCCCTTCACAGCTCTTATAGCACTTATATAATGTTATTCTTAGTCACATCATCTATAACAAACTAATTGCTACTTTCTCTCTAGCTGTGATCTATGATTAGATGTTCTTCAGTTGTGAAAAATATTATGGGCTGCCACCAGGCATAAATAGTGCAGATTACATAACATTATTATCAATCATCAAAATGTGGGCCGCACTACACACAGGTGAGAAAATTGCTAGTTCCAAGACACTGTTTTTGAAGCAACTGCTCAAATGCAGCAACACATTCACCGTAAGCCTGAACCACCCGGGCCATCCAAGCTTGCATGCAATTAATGGGTTTAACAGCAGCATCACTTGCTTATGGAGCTCCTAGTTCTCTTTTAGGCCCCACTGGCACAGATGTGATACAACTAAGGTGACCCATGAGAATTATACAACTACAAGACAAAGCACAGAACCAAAGAATTTTCTGGATGCTTTGAAGATTACAAAACATTTTTCCCTCGCAATGTGCTGGGCAGTTTGTTTCAGCCCTTGAAACAGTGAATTCACCAAGACTAGACTACAATTATAGGTTTACATCCAGTAGGACAGATCTACTCACAGAATATTTGAAGTCAGCTTCTAAACACTGTACCACAGCTTTAAAGTTTTGATTGGTTTGCTTTTTTGTTAGTTTTTACAAAGAGTGGCCTTGAAAACATCACAGGATATGTTCTAAATATATTTAGTGTGGGCTACAGGTTATACAAGTGAAAAAATAGACCAGGCTTTTTAAGAGAAATCTGAAGTTACTAGAGACAAAAAAATTATCCCTCCTAAAAAGCAGATTGAGATCTGCACTGAAAGGAAAGAGCTCCTTGTGGAAACTGGAAAGCTTTGAAGAGATTAAAAGGGAGGCCTCATGTCAAGAGCAATGTTACTGTTTCAARCAGTCCTTTTCCTGTCTTGCATATTAAACCCAAAGATAGACAAAGACCTTTTAGTCTTTTCTTAGTTATTGTTTAGACAGTGAGGTGAACTGTGAATTGAAGTTCGGGAAAAGAAGATACTGAGTTTCCTCAAACTCTGGCACCATCTCTCCATAATTGTTTGATTTACCTTACTTTGCCTTCTATCTTATATAAAGCAGTAAAAAAAAAAAAAAAAAATCCAAATCAGATCTCCCTTCAGTTGCCTTGACTTTGGACCATAACAGGTTATGGGCATTAGCAGTGTTAACTTTCTTATTTTCTGCCACAATTATGACCTACACAAGCTTATATAGCTTTTGGCATTCCTGAAGAACACAATATAGCTCATTGTTAAATTATGACAAATAGCTTTGTTTGCTAAGGCAAACAGATACGGCTCCTCTACAGAACTCCCTAAATATTTAGACATTTTTAAATCTCTTTAATACTGAAGAGTCTACAATAAATCTCACGAGTTCCAATCAACACACAACCCCAAGGAAACCTCCTCCGACACCTGAAGAAATGACTAGAGTTTGAGTTCATTCTTACCAAATTAACATGTTTTGGCTGCTCATTTCTTCCCACGCAAGGCTGATGTACATGGGAATTTTTAGAGTCAAACACAGCAGGGACGCAATTTTTAGAGTCAAACACAGCAGGGACGCAATTAAAATTCTTTATACCACGATGCAGAACGGAGGTGGTAAAATACACAGAGTTCAGCGTAAGCCTGGTATCAGGTCACCAAGGAAACAAAGTGGCTATCTAAACTCGGCACTTATTTGCAATCRGTATTTTGGCTTACTATCAAAACATGCTTTGTGTAACAAATCAACATTTATCATCTTGGGTACCGGCTATTCAGCATAATGCCTGATTAAACATTTACATCTTTTGAATAACAATCAAGCTCTCTAAACTCCAAGTACAAAAACTTTTGAGCTGTAAATTCCACTAATTTTTCACCAAGCAAATCTGGAAAGATTTCTTTGAGAAAAATGCAAGGGCACTGGCACAAACACACCAAAGAATRGCATTTAATTGCTTCACCTATTTGTGGGCAAACAGAAACTTTAACTGAAATTGCAGGAAGACTTGGATTCTGAAAAAAATGCATAATCACTTTTGTAGATATCATCATTTAAAAATTCATTCAAGCTCACAGAAAAAGAGGAAGAATGCAAAACCTGGTTCATTGCAGCTATATTTGTAGAAGTTGGGAATCAAGGTGGGAGAGCATCCCATTTTTGTGATGCTCAGCTGTGCTGTGAGCAGGTGAGCTCAGAACTCAAGTGAGGGCAATTCACCGCCTGGCAAACATCACAGGAAACATTACTATGCACAACACTTTTTACTTTTACACACAAGTTGCTTACCTTTTTTTGTGACAACTTGATTGCAGCATGTCCTTCATACGAACTGATCAGATGCTTACAAGCAGGAATCTGAATGGATGCAGTATATGAACAAAAGGGGAAAAAAAAAACAGTTGAAGCTTTTATGTCCTCTTTGGAACAAAGCAGCATCTTCTGAGCAGTGTATCAAACTCACAACAAATTCAAATACTTGAGACTGACAGAAAAGTCTGCATCCTCAAATATGTACTTCAACTAAAGCTATTAGTGTATGACAAACTAGATTATTTTTCAATTCATACACGAAAGGTAATTTCTATTTAGAATTTCTCTTATAGTTAATGTTATTMAGTTAATAGTACTTTTATTCATGCTGAACAGTGCCTTACTGTACAACTGATCCACCCAGTTCAGGGACTTCTTCCAGAACAATTAATATCAAAATACAGTTCCTGAAAACTACAGTACTGTCCTGAAAGTACAATTAAAAGAAGGGAATTTTCTAAGATGTCTGTTATCACTGATAAAATGAAATTACAAGTTATTAAAGCAAATGAGATTTTCCTGCTATTTCCCTCTTCAGAAATGCCATCTTTTCAGTATTTACTGGAACTGTGGTCAATCCAAACTATCCATAAAACCTGAGAAAACAGATGTTCTCTCAAGGTGTTCCTGATTTAGGTTTGGAGTATACACTGACAACAAATCAAATTCTGTTCAGTTAAATGTATTGAAACTCAATTTAAAAAGCTATTTTTGAGCACCCGAGGAATCACCATAAGCAACTTAACAAGCATTTTCTAACTAATCAGCTAGTTTTTATATCCCACATTGCTGTGTTAACAGTATCCTGCTATTTCCTAAACTGTAAATCTGTAAATAGTTTTAAAGTAAAACTTTAGTTTTATTAAAGTAAATAGTCTTTGCAAACTTTTTTTTTTTCTCCCGAGAGTTTCCAAGAATAAGGATCTTTTGGAAGAAGCATCAATCTCTTTGTTCTTTAGCAGTCACAGCTCCGCAACATGTAGAACACATCTTTATGATTATCTAATCCACTAGAAAAATACATAACATCAACGTAAATCCATAACAGACTTACATAGCCTTTGACTTCCTAAGTCAGTATGAAATCCGGTAACATCATCTGATCACTATGTTAAATATCTTTTTATCATTAATATCTTCCAATAATGCAATAAGAAATAAAGTAATCACAGAGACGCTACCCAGAACAAATACTCAAAAGTCATTTGGGAAACTTTTTCTGCATAGCTTATTACTCGACATTTCTGCAGAAAGGATTCTTCTGCATCTATAAAGAGGGGAAAGAGATTGGTGAAGAGAACTAGACAGAGGAATTCTTAAACTGAAGTACCAGTTTGTCCTTGAACGGAAGATCATAAACTTCAAAATTACGTATCTCATATGACTGCAATTGGAAAACTATGCAATTAAAACTACAGTTTTAGACGCTGAGTACTGTAGATCAAACCTATGTCTCCATTATTTTGAACAACCAACATCCATCATCAGAGAAATGCAAACAGATGCCATACTGATGCTCTTTTTAAAATGAATGGAGTTCCGCAAATATGAAGCCTGCATTTGGTTTAAAAATAAATAAAATGAACAAACATTTACAAAGAAGAGTCCAGACTGCATTCTATCATAGTCTTCATATGAGTAACTTTAATTGATGTTACTGGTCTCCTAACCAACAATTCTGTYAAACTTTAAAATCTGAAACTGTATCCTGCATGTATAGGTGAAGATTCCAACATTTTAGCTCCATCCCATTTAGCTGCCTGTATCTTCACTCTGTACACTACCCTTTTAATCTCTTTAGTTCTATGACTTCTTTTTCTGCATAATACATTAAAAGCCAGTTGTAATGGGATGCGACACTTCCTTACTCGACAAAACAAAAAGAACTTAGGAATATGCCAAAATTAGGTAAAACATTTTGCTCTCTATATTTGCTGTAGACAAACCGCTTTACAAGCTTCTCATTCTAGATGCATTTTAAGTTCTCACTGACACAAATGACTCCATCAGTGTCAGCATAAGAATGCTGTCTGGTCTCATTAAAAATAAAAGAAAAACAATATTTTGTTCTTTCTTGCTTTTGTCAGAGACTTTCAGAAGTTACTAAGAAGTCTCAAGTTCTACTTTTTCTTGGAACTTTTTGATAAGTAGTCTACAAGAATTTGAGAAAAAGAACCCTCCTCATTTAAAGTCAATTTTGAATATATTTTTAAAACAGGTTTATTTTTTTAAACTTCAGARAATACGCTTCAAGTTTTAAAGTAATTAATTTGCAAGTGGCATCAAGTCATCCAACATGGGAAGACATTTAGGAACAAGCCATGTAAGCAGACAGGATTAGGCTTTTTGGCTTGACAGAGGGCAGCGAGCACTCTCTAATGAATATTGAATTGTCTTTCTGCTAGAGATAAATAGGCCTTCCAAATCAATGCTTAGCTGATCTATTGGAGAACATAAAGAAGGCCTCATCATTTTCAGCAGGACAGACGTGTAGTCAGATAGCTATGTCAGCAGTCTCATCACCTAAGTTCTTCCTCTTCTATAACTTCCATTTATTCAAACAGTGGATCAGAAACACTTTCTAAATCAGAAGTCTCATTTCTCAGTGCAGATCAAGATATGAACTCGGAACCAAGAAACATGACTGAAAATATTAAAGTATATGCCAAATGAGTCCAAATAACATAAAATATTACAAGAAAGAGATACTCAAATAGTGTATTTTTATAATAGGAAGAAGTTATAGCACTTAAGTTCTTGAAATTTTTAAGGTTCTAGGAAATACTATTGGCCTAGAAGTCCAGTCTCAGACATCAAACGCTGAAGGCCATAAGAGTCTCCCTTTACCTGCAAGAACATGAGTTTAATTACAGAGAAATACTACTTCATGGCAGAGTCTATCTTCAGCACCSACTCATTAATATTTGGTGGTTTCCTATATTTTTTTCCAATCTTCTCTGCAGCTGAGCCCAAGAAATATACGCCTTGTATCATCTCTTGCTTATGCCCTTTTCCTTAGATACATTCCTCCTGTCATCTCTCTCAGCCTATCCCAGGCTAAAACCTTAACTTATTCCAGCACCCTCTAAGTGCCCACAAAAGCTTAGGATTCCTTCCGGYATTCCTTTCACATACCTTCCACTTATTTTTTACATTAGTCTGCTCACCTCATGCTTGTACATAAATTTTATGCTCTTAGATCCTACTAGAAATCTGCATTAGGTGCAAGTTCCCCAAGGCTTGTGAGCTAGTTCCTTGATCTCTGGTTGTATTTGGTCCAGCATTCAGCCCTGTAGCCTCCTCACAGCTYGCCAGAGCAAATTCCTCTAGCGTGCCTCTGAGTCCGAGAGTTTCTGTTCCAAAGCGTGCATCTCTCAAGAATTCATGCTTTTGCTCAAGACAGAAGTCACTGCTTCTTTAAGAGGGCAAAAAAACCTGTTAGTTTATGAGTACCATGATCACCTTAACTGATCACCTTTACATTCAAATTCTCTGCCTTTATCTGTCAGTATTTATATTTCAGTTTATATACATCCAATACTTTCTTCTCTTTTCCTCCCATTTCCAGGTATTTTTTTCCGCTGTACAGCAACAAACTCCTTTCTGGTGATTCTGCACTTTGTGGGCATCCAGAACAGGAAGGGTTCCTCAGTAACTTATTTCCTATTCCAGATGGATGAAACACCACTCAATTTAATTGTGTGTTGGAACCTTCTAATTCTGATTCAGTATTTTGTTCCTGAGTCAGAATAGGTTATCAAATGATGTGGTGTATATATAGATACACACACACACAAACACACACACACACACACACACACACATATATATATATATATAAAGCCACAGTGGCTTCAGGCCAGACACAAAGTACCTTATCAGAAAGCTGCAAGTATGTTGTGATTAAAGAGCTCTGTCAAACATTTAGTTCAATTAAAATAAGCAAGTGGAATTTTTGGAATCTTTTGTTTAGATTAAGTTCTAACATGAGATAGATTTTTCTTACGTTAGTAGGATCAAAAATTATTGCACCCTGGAATGCTACGAAAGCAGCAATAGACAGAGCCTTCCACTTCTGCAAATAAAAGTTAACTTCCTATGTGAATCCTCCCAAGAATTATTAGATACTTTCCTAAAATCCTTTCTCCCTTGATTAGGCGGCCACATGCACCTCTAGCCTTAGTGCTTGCTTTACATTTATAGTTCAAACAGAGCTACAATGAGGAAGCTCAATCAGAACTGAAGAGTTTTACTTCTCTTACAAAGCGGTTTAGCTTGTGCTGGTTAATTGAGCGTGCAGGGTAGATGTCACCAAGTTCAGTCAGTGACGAGCAGAAGGCAATTGACTGAAGCCACCCAGGAGAGGGAAGCAGAGATCCAGGGTGCCCCAGCCCTGGTCAGGCTAACGATGGGAATTGCTTCTATTCCAATTAATTTCATTTCCAGCTCAGGAGTTAATAAGGAGAGCTAATAATTAGTCAATTAACTGCCAAAAGTGCATGCAACCAGCAAAGCTCAGGAAATACAACGACCTAATTGCTTTCTTCAGACAACAGAATAATAAACTAAAAAATGAATAACCAAAAAAGGCACAACATATGGGAAGCAGAAGACATCTTTGCTGTCACTCTCTGAGGGGGAGGAAGCTCCCTCTTTTCCAGACCAGGGAGGGGAAAGGAAACAAGATTAAGAGGAGAGTCTGGTGGGACAGGCAGAAAGAAGAATCTCTGTCAGGCAAGAAATAGACTCCTTTGATATTTCAAACTAGATATGCCCTATGATTTTCTTTTATAAATTCAATTTGTCCAAAATCAGATCATTTCTTAGAGCCTATCATATGCCCAGTCCACCATGATAATTATGTTGACACAAATAGTTCCTTCAACATTTAAGCTCAGTTTAAAACGAAACAGAAAGAGCAGTAATATTAACAAATGAATCCTACAATTCTTACCTTTCTCAAGCTATTTCAGTCTTCATGCCTATTCAGAGATGACATATCCCCTGAAGTAGGTTCTCTAACTGCAAGGCAGCAAATTCCACCA